TATTTAGGCCTCCTTATAGTAAACAGAGAGGAATTGGTATTTCCAGGGGGTGGACTCACCTTAAAGTAGATACACAGGACACAACAAGGTTACCAACATGGGCAATGAATGTTTGAAGTCACCTGAGTCAGCTAGACTAGGTTCGTTAGGCATAGTAACATAGAATTGTTTTTGTTGGAAGAAACCTTTAAGATCATCAAGTCCAACTGTTAACTTAACTCTGCCAAGTTACTACTAAACCATGTCCCTCAGCACCACCTCTACAGGTCTGTTAAATACCTCCAGGGTTGGTGACTCAACCACTTCCCTGGGCAGCCCATTCCAATACTTGATAACACTTTCAGTGAGAAACTTTTTCCTAATACCCAATCTAAACCTCCCTGGCACAACATTTCTTCTTGTCCTACTTCCTGTTACTTAGAAGTGACCAATCCTCACATACCAGCTCCCCAGAAGCTAGGGGAGACATAAGCCCTTTTGAAATGGCACCTGGAGGCCACATGAGCATCCCTGGGCATCTGATTTACACATGGGCAACTGAATTGAGGTGTAGCTGCTCAAGACAAATGTCTTCTAGGAGCACCTTTCTCCGTCTTTCAGCTGCAAAAGGTTTTGGAATAACAACCTATCTCCTAGGCTGTTTGAATTAAGGGGAAAAACACTTTAACTGCACATTGTTTATAAAAATTAAACTTTCTTCTACAGAGTGATTTGGGCTTTGTTCCTGCAAGTACCTTTCAAAGCTGAGAGCTTCCCACATATTTTCTAAAGGTGCGATGCAGTAATCTCTTTATCACAGAATCACAGAATCACAGAATCTTCTAGGTTGGAAGGGACCTTAAAGATCATCTTGTCCAACCGTCAACCTAACTAACAAAAATAGTTTATGTTTTACTTTATGTTCTCTTCCTCTCATAAGTAACTAGGACAAAAATGAAAGATTGTTCTGAAAAACTGCAATATTGACTGGGGCAGTATGTGTCATTTCTTTTTGCAGACAGAAGAAACAGCAATGAAATTAAAGCCAAAATCTGCAGAGAAACAAGTATAATGGCAAAATACTGTAAGAAAAGATGGGTGAAAAGCCACAGAACAGAAATCAGGTATGGGGTGATGGATGTGGCATCTGGTATGATCCCAAGAAAAGATGCTGCTCAGAGCAATGGACAAACAACAACAACAAAGAATAAATTTATAGTGTGCCAAACAAACAGAAAGTTGCGTAAAGTCAGGATGACTGATTGCAGTAATTGTTGAAGGACAGTCAAATCACCTTGGGGAAAAATGTTTTAAATGGTTTACCATACGTCAAAGAGCCTTTGAAAGACAGACATAGACTTAACATAGAGCTGGATTCAGTTGCATTTCCTAGAAGAAATATTTTCTTCCAAATTAGGCATATCAAAGCCATAATTGTTTCTCATGATATACAAGGATGAAAATAGAAGCAAAAATCTTCAAGAGTAGGCTGCTCCTGGACACTGCCAAAACATGAATAATAGCAGTAAATATCTTTATGTACAATGTTTTCATCTAGATAATGCATACTGTGTATTATGAGATAGTGTTTAAAGTAATTATTAAAGCATTTATGCTTCCCCCAAAGAACAATGTTACCCATTGTGATCTTCACTATATTTTGATCAATTTCTCATAAAGATTCCATGGTCACAGTTTCCTGTATTTATTGCCATAAAGAGACAGAAAAAAAAAAAAAAAAGAAAGATTAACGTTTCTGATGGCAAAAGAATTAGCAGGATGGTGTGCTGAGGAGAAAAGCACATTGGAGGGCAATTAAATTAAACCACTCAGAATTTGCCTGATGGGATTCTGGGCTCAATTTAGTTGTCAATACATTGACATACAATGATGTTTGAGAGACCTGATGTTTTCCACCTCACATCAAGCTGTTGCTCCAGAAAAGGACATATCTACTGTAGATTTTATGTCATATCTGCCAATGCTATGCCAATATGTGAAATATTTTTATGGTATCTAAAATGTAGGTGGATTCCTTTGTGATGGCAACTGATTTGAACATCTATATTTTGGATTCAGTTGCTTAAACAGAGACATTTAGTGCCACATCAGATACCCCAATGCACTTTATCCAGCTTCCCAGTTTTTCCATGGGCATCCCATACTTCCTAAGTCAAATCTACCAGCCCCATGTAGACAGGATGTTTCTGGCAGCAGCAGCAGAAGTGTAGCACCTAAGAAAAGTTTCGGAAAAAGACTTTGGATGATAAAACTCAGAAAACAACGTGAAGACGTGAATTCTTCTTTAGAAAAAATGAGACGATATATTGAAGTCAATAAAATAAAGAAAGGTACAGAGAACGAATGCAGGCCATATCTATTTGCCCTATAATAATGCAAGAGCCAGAGGATGGCCAATTAGAGTTAATAGGTACGGATCCTAATGTAACAGGAGGAGATGTTTTCGAGCACTACATAGTTACATGTAGGATCACTACCCAGAAAGTAACACTACTCAGAAGGGCATTGGATGTCAAAAATGTTTGGGCTTTTTACGGTAATGATAGAAAAAACACCAACTTAATGTGAATTCTGGGGGTCCAGGTTCTCCTTCTCTTGTCAAATATGAGTTTGTAGAAATATTTATTATTATTCTCCTCCTTCGGACACCCTGCCCACGCCCCTTCACGTGATTGTCCGTCAGCAGCTAACTCTTTTATCACACTCCTCAGGAAGGGTCGTCCGACATAGTTGAAATGCTTACTTTAAACAAAATTAATATTATCTTGGAAGAGTTTCATTCTTTCCATTAGTTGTAAAGGCATGCTAAAGCAACTACCTCGTGTATAGACCTCTTCTGAGCAGACAAATCCTGGAGGGCCCATCATGTGTTATGTTGTTCTGTACCGTGACCTACAGGCCAGCAAGCTGGGGGACAATTATACAACTAGTAGTAGCCAGTGTGGGAGCTTTTGTTAGAAGCAGCTTAATCTACACTTGACACACAGCCACTATCACATTTCTTCCTTTATTGGCCATTCTTACAGGCACCAAGTACAGGAATAGGTGAACACTAAGCCTCACAGAAAGTAGAAGGGACTGTAGGAAGCTGTCTGTATTCGGCATAATGTCTAAAAGTAACACATGGGTATCTGTGTGTATGTGTACCATTATATACCACTATATATTGCTATGTGTTATTATATGTGCTAAATTAGAGATAGATATACTATATTGCCTAGTAATGGCATTATTATTGACCAAATATCTAGCTTCAACAGAAACGCTGGTCTATACCGCAGATTGTGTAATGAAGCATTTTCTTGCCTGTTCTTATGCATCAGTCAGTTTCCATGCAAACTTTAACAGCTTTTTGTAGGCACGAAGTATTGCATATAGACTATTATTGTATCTAGTTTCCAAGTTTCCTATAAACTTAGGAAAAAATGTCCTCTAATAGAATTTTTGTGTAAAATGGGAAAAACTGCCGTTTCTTCCAATAAATATGACCTTTACTCAGAAACAGAGAGAAAAACTTCTGCGCATTTCCTCTATAGATTGCAGAAATAGGAACTTAAAGAAGAAAAGAAAATTATGGGCTCACTTCTGGAATTTTTGCCTTCATTTACTTCTTTTTTACTGTCTTTCAATGAAAATAATTCAGTTCATCCATGAATCTTTATTCAAAAAAGCACTTGTGTATTCACGCAAGTCTTCTCCTCTTTCAGGCAAATAGCTAACATAAGAATTGTGAAGACAATATGAAGTATGGCCCAGAGTTCAAATATGAGTTTTCTCCATCTAGCAAATGGTGCCAGGTTTTCTCTTTTGTTTTGTCTTTTTCTCTAAAAATACAATTTAATCATTTTTTTGATCAAACCTCCCAAGAATTCCAGGGACATCATAGACTTTATTTCTACATGACTATGAAGAGCATAATGGTCTAGTTTACTGCAAATCCAAGAAAATAAAGTATAACCAGCAGCACTTTTCTCCTTTCTTAATTTTCGTTGTGGTGAAGCTAAGTGCAACGCCCTTAGGTTTTTTTCACTATATATGTAGATGTGGAGAGAAAATCAGCTATTTTTGCACAGGTTCAGAGACAGGTTAAATTAAAATGGTTAAAGATAATTTGTTGATCTTTTTTACATAATATTTATATACTAGAAGCATCACCTCAGATCAGCTATTTTAACATAATGTAATTCTACAAAATATTGTTTTAGCCACAAAGAAATTCTATAGAAGGAAGCATATTGGATAAAGTATTGCTCATGGTGTAATTTTAATTCTGAAATATCTTGCTAAGAGGGCTTATTTAAATAGGTTCTCTCTGAGATGAATATTTAGAAAAAATTCCTACAGGATGATTTATAGAAAAATTATATGAACAGAATGAAGGACAGAAGAATTTTATTAGAAAAGAGACTCATTTCCACAAAATATAAATTATACCTTTTAGAAAATATATTGAATTTTATTAATATTCTTCAGACAGCCTCCAGTGTTAATCTCCACCCCTACCTATAAGATTTTCATTATGAGGTACAAGGTGTATTTACCCTTTAACCAAATAATTTTTGAGTAGTTCAATGCAGCCTTTACTGCAGTTTACATATCTTACAAAATATTTTCCTCTTGGAGGCACAGTGTATTTTATGGCAATATTCTATGTAAAATACTGAAACATTTACATGTATATGAACATATATATGCACATATGCATATGCATCTATGTAAATATATGTTATATATATATCAATATCCAATTTATACATACCTCATATTTCTGTTAGAGGTATAAACCTTTCTGTTTGTACATTGTACACAGGATATTGATCTTTACCGTTTGTGTATACATTTTCTGACCTCAATTACTTAACCAGCCTGGTTGACATTGAATTTATTTCTATTTATTTGGGAGTCAATATAGAGAGAAACATACTAACTGTTCATTAAGTAGACAGATTTGGGGAATCAATAATTTGTTTACAATCATTTCCTAATATTTTTTTCCACAGGACTCCTCCTTCCTTTGAAGCTCAAGAAATGAATTACAATTGTTTTTTTGGTGAATGAAGTTGCTCTCTGCAGGAACTCTGCCTTAGTCATTCCAGAAATATGAAGATGGGTTTTTTGCAAGAAGAAAAAGGGGTAGGGAGTCTCCAATAACATGGTCTGAGAGTAGTTTTCTCAGAAAGAGTTCTGTGACCTATACCTATAAGCATGTGAATTGTAGAAGGCAGTGCCAACTAACTCTACAGAAGTCAGAAGCTTTACATTTTTGAACAGGAAATATATCTTTCTTTTAAAAGCTAAATACTTGAAACTTATCTTAATTACAAATCTCTTAATTGAGACTAATTTTGCAAAACTCCTGGATTCCAAAAAAAAATTTTGACAGTGTATGAAAAATTGAATTAAACCTCAAACGTACTAAACCTCAAATGTATTATAAATTATTTTATTTTGTCTAAATAATATATTTGCTGAATAAGATCTTTCTCTGAAAAATGTAAGGTAAATATACTTAGAAAGCTGCTAAATACATCTCTGCAATGACCTATATAAATTATTTTCCTGCCTTCTTCACAATATATTTTATTATAACATTCACAATCAACTCATTACCTCAACACATTTACATTGAATTTCTGTTCTTCACTGTACTTTTCTGTACTTCTAGCTCACCAGAACTGCTTTATGCTATTACATGGAAGAAATTTATTCAGTTTCGTATGTTGTTAGCCATAAATGTATGACTAACTTAGTATTACTCCTAGGAAGAGAATCCTTGAAATAAGCCATGAATCATTTAATAACACTGTTTATTGTACAATGAGGATCTGATTCTGGCCACAGTGTCAAGCTTGAGTAAATCAGATTTACTCAAGGGATTTCTGCAGACAAAACAGCACAACAAAGATGTCCTTTCCTGGACCATGACCTGCTTGGAGGTCTCAATTAGTCTTAGGACAGCAAAAGTTTCATAGAATCATAGAATGGTTTGGGTTGGAAGGGACCTCATCAAGTTCCAAATCCCCTGCCACGGGCAGGGACACTTCCCACTAGACCAGGTTGATCAAAGCCCCATCCAGCCTGGCCTTGGACCGGTCTTTGTCCTGGCCTGGCCTTTGGTGCTCGATATGAGTATCTATTTCCATCTGGACACTTTATAAACTTTTGCAAAGCTGCAGTAGAAATTCTCAGCTCAGACCTCTTCAGAGTTTGTTTGAGAATCTCCTACCAGTTCTACTGGTTCTAGCAAGTTCTACGAATCTACACCAAACAAAGCAAGCAATAGTTATGAGGTGTTGCAAATTTACTTGCTTAAGAGCTGGGGGAATAAGTTAAGACTTTTCAGGCAAGACATCTAGAACCTTTAAAGGAAACTGCAGTGTTGAAAGATAGGGAGGTGGATAAGCAGGTTGGCCAAGAGCTGGAGGCAGAAGAAAATTGGTAAATCAGGGAGAATGAGCACAACTACTGTGTGTGTGTTTTTTGGGAAGAGCACCTGAGAAGGAGCCAGCACTCAAATGAAGAGCTGGACCTGACAGGGGAAAGTGACAGGTATAAGAAACTGAGGAAGGGACAAGAGAACCTGGCACCAATGATTGGGTGAAAATCCGAAGAAGGAGAATGTCCTGAAGTAAGGAAAGGAGGAAAGGAACAAAGCTACATCTGTATAATAGCTGATTATTCACTGATACAATCAAGCACCACTGTGCTTAGAAAATACACCATGGTAAAAGGCTAAACATTTGAAAACAGCGGATCCTAGGCATCTCACATTACTGGACACTTTAATCAGGTGTCCCTTGGTAAAACATCCTTCCATTTGGAGAACAATTACAAAAACAAATTAACACATTTCCAGAGCATGCTACAGTGTTTGGATGAGCAACATAAGAAAGTCCACAAGAAAATTTGGAATTCTGAGCCATGGATGTGGCATAAGGAGAAGAAGAAGCACCAAACAGCTTTCCATCAGTGGAACACTATCGCACTATGCACAAAATGAGGCCGGGCTTCTTGGAAAAGGTAGTAAATGAATACAAACTTAAGCTCTACTGATTAAAACACATGCACAAGAGGATTAAATGAAATACTGCAGGCCAATATCTCTCAGGTGTTTGCTAACTCTATCAAGTTTTATTTTATGATGTTCATAATAAGCAAGTTTTTTCTTTGTAATCATAATTTATTTTTATTTGTGGTAACCTGAAAGAACCCTGGTCATGGCTCTCAACCCTAACATAGAGACAAAATGTAAGGAAATAGAGAGATTTTGCTCTCCCATTACTCCTCTCCTCCCTCAAACTTATTTTATGCTTAACACAGAAAACAAAATATTCATATACAAAAGGAAATCACATATCTACCCTTCATAAATTAAATGTATGCATTTGGCTTTGCATTGCATGTTAAGATATGTTTTGGTCTGCATGTACGAAAGAGATGTTACAAGACAAAAAGTAGATGAAGAACGAGGTGAAAAGTAAAACTGAAAAAATAGAGCACAAAGACTGATTCATGAAAGAAAGCAATAGAATTGTTTTGGAAATTTGAATGTTCAAGATAGACAAGCCCTCAGGCAGGACTGACTTGCGTAATCAACCTTTACTGGATTTGGCAGATACAGATACCAAGTGTGACAGTGCTAGACGTAGGAGTTTTACCAGGCTGAATCGTTCTTCAGCAGTCACTCTGGTATACTGAACTCGGCACAAACAAGTTTTCCTCCAGCCTCCAGTGAGCATGTTTCTGTTATTACCCAGCACTTCTGTCTCTCAGGCGTGGAAATAGATGTTATTGATTTTGGCAAGTGAGGATCCTCTGTGTGTTTCTTGCCAGACCCCTCAAAAGTAAGTGTTGGCATTATCAGAAGATCAAAGAAAAACAATATTTATCTTGTCAAAGACAGTCATCTAGTACAATCTAATTTGAAGAATTTCTTTACTTTAGAACTGATATTTTTTTCATCACGCCGTGAACATTTTTATTGAGTGATTGAAAACATTTGAGTTCTTCATTAGTCATGTCCATGTGGTCTAAATGACCTTTGAGCTTCTTCATTCTTTTATCATTGTATTTAGCAGCATTTTTTATTTAGCTACTTTTTGCAAGGAAATTTAGGACCTTAGCGATGATTTTATTCTATTCATTTTTTAAATAAAGTGAGTTATGAGCTTGAAAGTGGATTGTAATTTTAAATCATATGGCCTGTAGCTTGTTATATTAAACCAGTGATAAAGACAGGCCAATTAGATACTCGTTCTTTAGTTAGCTGGTCTAAATAGTCTCATGATAATTGTTAAAATTCATCTTGGAAATATGGACACTGCATCTAAGAAAGCAAAAGCTATAGTATGTTTTAATAATAATTATCAAGTAAACTTTCTAAATGCTTAGCATATCCCATTCTGATAATAGATTCCTTATCTGGTGTGATAGAAACAAACTGCAGAGCAGAGGACACTTCTGAAGAAATAATCCAGCCTTCTCACTAAATATATTTTCCCCTCAACCACCTAATTTTCACGTGCGTCTGTAAACTAAATACATTGGTTAAGTATTTCAGAATATCCTTAATATACCTATAAGTCAATTATCATTATAGCATCATGGAAATCATAGCATTGTCAAGGACTAAATTGACAAATATATTGGAAAATTCAGTGTAGCTTCACTAACCTAGGGGCAGTTTGTACAAGTTTTTTTGCTATCTAGGTTACGAGCATTTGAAGCCTATTTGCACTACTTAGTTTATTGCCCTTACTGCCTTATTAACAGAAGTGTTGGGTTTTGTTTTATTCTAATAAGTCTTGACATGTTCATTTCATTCTAATGCCCCAGTTCCAGATGCTCTCATATCTACAACAGATGCAGTCAAAACTTTTAATAGGTCTCTACAAAACTTTTCTGTGTATATGTGATTGCAAAATGCCACAGTAAAAACAACAAATATCCCAATATATTCAGCAAGCCTATCTTTCCTACTTCTCCCAGTTTTCCCCCACATTTAACAAATGATTGGAGCTATCAAATGATAATCATGACATTTTACCTTTTCCTTTTGGCCCCAGTGGAGTTTAAAACTCAGTTGTGATGTTCTGAACCCTGGCTCCAAAGCACCTTCCACTACTACCTGCAGAAAGCCTGAAGCATTCAGTTCTGGCAAGGACTCTGTGCTAGGCCGTTTACAAGGTGGAATAAAAGCAGCTAACTGATTTTGTCTCTACTAGGGAGATCTGACCAGTTGCTGTTCTTTTGCACTACATGAGTTCCTGAATGGCATGAATGAAACAACCTTTTGAAAGCCGCAATTTAAAGCTGTTTAACGAAAATGTTTTTTTACAGACAAAACACAAAGCCTGCAATGTTCTGCGTACCATTTAAGCCATGATCTAGAAAAGAAAACATTCAACACTGAAATATCTTGGAAATATTTAATTTTAATCATAATGAAGTAAAACAAAACAACAACAAAAATTTTTGAATTTTTTTTAAAATATTACTAGTCCTAATTTTCATTGGTCATGGCACCTGATATTCAGGTTATTCTCTCTTCTGGGCTTTTTTTCCTCCTTTCCTCTGAAATACATACCAAGAAACACTTAGGTCTTGATTTAATTGTCTAAATATAGAAACCTATTGCCACTTCACACAGCTTAAAGTACCAAACTTTGAGCCACTTGCATGGAGGTAGTAAACCTGGTACAGAACTTATGAGAGACCCTGGCAACTGCAGAGTGCAAGTTGGACACCAAATAGGATATCCATAGTAGAAGCTAGTGTTGAAATCTCACGCAGGGGTTAGTAGTTATTATTTGTCCCAGTCTGCAGAAGAAAGAGCTAGTCCTTGCTGTACTTCCAAGTACCTAAGACAAAGCTTCAGGATCAAACCTAACTTTTTCTTATTTTCCATCCCTATCTTGTGCACAAAAAAAAAAAAAAAAAAAATTCCCTTTCAATAAGTTTTCATTGCAAATTTTCCATCCCTATCTTGAAAAAAAAAAAAAAAAAAAAAAAATGTCCTTTCCATAAAGTTGCATTGCAAATAGATCTAAAGCAAATAAAATTATTTCAAAATACATAAACCACAAAACTCAGCTAGTTTTAACCTTCTTCATAGATGTAAACAGCTGAGGAAATGAGACCTACTGAAGAAGAGTTTATGTCTGGAGAAATGTCCTCAAGCAAGGAAGTTTAAAGTCTTCAAATAAGGTATATAAAATTCAGCCAACTTTTTTTAATGTTTAGCCATCAAAGCTATCAGAAACTTAAATTACATTTTATAAATGCTGGTGGTTTCCTTTAATCCCAGATTCTTACAACAACCTTGTCTGGCTCAGTGACGCTTAAAAATATGTTCTTTTCTATGTCCATGAAATGTTTTATGAGTACAAATTCAGCACAAGTTATTATCTGTCATAATGGTGATACTGGGATAAATGTGGTGAGCTCTGGCTGGTAATGGAGGGACTTCAGCATAGAGAGGTTAGGATTCTCTGGTTGGGAAGCAATATAGGTCTTGAAGGAAAGAATATTGTTGCTCTTAAGATACATAGGGTTACCACAATGAGAGCTGGACCTGGGGGTAAGGTGAAGGAAATGACATTACCACCTGTCCCCTCTTACCAGGACCTCATTTAAAGGAGCAGGAGTAGAAACTTTTCACCTCTAGCCAGGGCTGGCGTTCTTAAATCCCTTATGCACTTTTTCTTTGTTGAAATTATGGTAATGATACTTTTATTGGAAGTGTTATACTTTCATTTTAAAAGTGTATGTTAACCTTTGATGAACCCTAAATTTAATACCAAGCAAGCCCACCGTTCATCTGTCATAGTAACGCTTTTCTACACCTCTTCCAGGTGTAGAAATTCACCTTTGAATTCACTCTTTCCAGAAGATGAATAATCAAAGCAGTCCAGGCTTTTGCAGACAAACTTTTACTTCCCTTTTGTCCAAAAGCATTGACAGTCTTCTATCTTTATTGAGGAATATCACAACAGGCATACTTAAGGTTTGCTTTTTTTTTTTTTTTTTTCATGGCCACATCACCTTTGAGGCTCATAGTTCCCTCAGATGAAATTAATCTCACACGAGTATATCTGAGTAGTCAACCTAGGGTTCTTTTATGGTCGATTTAGAGAAATAGGTGCTAAGGAATCACTAATCTTGCCAAATATCTATTTCAGGATGAAATGGACTACGCCATAAAAGTGCTGCCTATTTCTCCCAGTTGACTGTAATGGCATACATCTGTCTTTGGTCAAATGAGTTTCTTCCCTTGCAATCAGTGAATAGGTCTTTCTCATCTCTGTCATACCTAACTCTAGGGAAAATTCTCTTTATATCTCTTGAGTTTGTGTGATTAAATTTAGTCTGATATTTTTTTTCAGTTCTCAATCTCACCTCATTCTCCCTTTATGATACCCCAGTTCATCCTCTTTGAATACATCCCAAAAATTTATGTTAAAACCAGACCTTGTCCACAGTCTCTTATTTTCAGAGCCATGTCAAAAAAGAAGTTATTAAATAAGATCATTCCAAATAGGCCCTTGAAAAAAACTGAAAAAAAAGGGTTCCATATCTAGACAACTTAAGTAATTAATTAATTACTTAATTAAGTCATTAATAAATTGCATGCATATAATTTCCATGAGATAGTTACCTTTACCTCTGCCAATTTTCACAACCGTTTATGATTCTTCTCCCAGTCATCTTTACTGCTGCTTCAGTCAGTCATCTTCCTTCCTTTCTCATATTACGTACCCTTGAAAGAGAAATTAAGGATGTGCATTCCACAAGCCCTCTCTTTGATTTTCTATTCAAACTCTCCTATTTTCTGTGCTCTGGTCACTGAAATTGGACTCATTTGATTCATTAACATTAGTGGTGCAGAACTCCTATCATTGTCAGCTTCTTGCCTAGACTCTTAAGAGAAACAGGCGTTTCTTGACCTCTCTTTAACAATTCCTACATTTTTAAGTATAGGTGAGAGTCATTGCATTGAGTGACTAAACTAAAGCTTTCCTATGTCTGCCTGGTCATTTTTAAGTTTGTCAGATAACTGCCCACTAATAAAGGGTGGAGGTTGGGATTCCCCATCAGAAATTTAGGCCAAAGCCTCTGTCTCATTTCCAACATAGTCATGGATTGACCTTTGAAAATTAAAAGGTGTAATTAAATCAAGTGCCAAGACAGATTCATTCATTCTCAGTTGAAACCTTTATAACCAGGAATAAATATACCCAGGAAAATGAAGCCGACACCAACTGTCTGAAAATTGTCTTTCCAAATATGTAATTTTTTAACAAAAATAATTTTTTTGCACCTTTTTCAGAATATTATGCTTTACATAGTTTTTCCTAACATCTCCCTTGATGTAATATTTCCTTTTTCAAAAAAGAAATGCACTTTGCATCATTGATTATATAATCATTCACCAGAGCTAAAAAGAAATAAGTAAAGAAACATAATACACCCAAAGAACAATTCTCATCTTCCTGAGATTTTTCATCTTGCAGTTATCTCAGTAATAAACGTTGCCATTTTCAAAAATTATGTTTTCTGGAGGCTGAAAACATTTTATGAAATGTAAACTTTCATGGAGAATAAAAAAACACTGAAAAACTTCTGTATTCGAATGAAAGTAAATTCGTAAAGGAAACCAACTGGAAAGTCCGTTCTTGACCAATTTCAGATGAGACAACATCTTTTCTTTTTTTTTAAATAAAAAAGAATATAAATCCTAGCATTTGGGACCTTAAATTTCGATATCATTGGAAAGCACAGCTGTATGATATGTTCTTGCACAACCCAGTGTCAGTAGATGAGAAAGATTTGTTTGGTATTGTTGAAGGCATGGCATGTTTAATGAAGTGTCCCTTAGTAAAACACCTAAGTTTGTACTCATTTACCTTTAAACCAGAGATTATTTCATGAGTCTTGAATAAGTGTATTAGCTTTTTGCTTTATCAGGAACAACATGCTCAATATTTTCCAAACTGAACTCTGAATCAATAACAAAGCCTTCCTGTAGCATTTCTTTTTTTCTTGAATTTCTTTTACAAATAATCATAGAATCATAGAACAGTTAGAGTTGGACAGGACCTTAAAGATCACTGAGTGCCAACCCCCCTGCCATGGACACCTCCCACTAGACCAGGTTGCTTAAAAACCTAGGATCTTAGGATTCAATCCTAGAAGACCTAGGATCAATATTATTTAACTTAAATTTCTTTAGCTGACACCCAAAAATCATATAAAGAAGTTACACAGTTAATATGTAGCAAACCTTTTAATTATTTACTGAAAAAAATGTTGATGAAGTTGTGATACTAGATCCCATATTATATTTTTTGCAAGTGTTTCTTACATCTGAAAACAATAAAGGATAACCATAATCTACAATGCATTTTGAAACAAAAATAAAGAAATTGTCATGCTTCTTCAGGAGTATATTGCTGTCAGATAATGATGCTGTACTCTTGGACGTGATTTTTTTAAATTTTTTTTTAATACTGCTAGTACTCTATTGAAAACAATAGGCGAAGATCTTAAAAATAACAAGTTTGAATATTGTTGCTATGTAAGTCCAAAGGTACAGAATATGAACAGCCATTTCAACTGGTCTGAATCATGTTCATGAGTTCCTCTGATTTATCCTTCCATTGGCCCTTCTAGGAAAGTACCTTTTTTTTTCCTTTTGCCCCCTGTCTCCTATATTTCATTTCATGTGTCTATCGAGGCTATGAAAGATAAAGCTATCTGCTTTCTCCTGTAGTAAAGAACTATATGGAATCAGTTCACCTGTCTGTCACTCCTCATTAAATTCTTACCCTCTTCATTCACATTCTGATCTTTGCAAATGAACATTTGCTTAATAAATGTTCCCAAGACTAACAGTGCAGAGTGAAAATCCCACACAGCAGTAAATTATTAACTCAGTCACAGGGGGAGTGCCATATATGACTTTTCAGAATGAGTTATTATGTGGATCATCATGTAATTATGAATTTTTCAAGCCATGATAGAGGAAAATTGAATATTTAATATTTTATGGACATATTCTGCACTGAGGACATCTTTCAAAATTTTATGATAATTTTTGGAGTGAGCAAAGAGCAGAACAAAAGTTACAAAATAATTACAAAGTGGAATATTTAATCACCATGGACATTGTTGGCGATTTCTCAAATTGCATGGTATAATCAAGGTCGCGAACTTTTAATCACAATGTATTCGAACGGAAAAAATATGTGCATTAAAATTAATCTACAAGTATGTTTTGATTGTTTAAGGAATGAGAATATGAGGCTTCCTACTTTATTGTGCGATAGGCAGAACGATGTGAATATTCATGGCAAGACGACGGGCTGTCAAAGGCTGGCAAATAGTGGCGGGTTGCCCCTACATGGGGCATTTAGGAATACAGAAGCATGAACATAAGCCTGTGCTGCTTGCTCCAGGAATGCAAGCAGGGAGCATGAGGGGAAGCGCTGCAGGTGCCTAAACATAGCCGTTTAGCACAATTTTAAACATCCTGGGGTATTCACAGCATCCGCGTGAGGCTGGCAGGGACAACACAAGATCTGTGGGAGACCGGAGCCCTTCTAAAGCAGCAGCTGGATGCCAGGCAGGATATCCTGAGGCATCTAAACGATATTAGACACCTATGTTTAGGCTCTTGAATCGCTTTCCAGGAGTTAAAGCTGAAGCCCAGGGTGTTTTAAATGGCGCTAAATTCCCACATATGGGCAACAGACCCAAGCTGTGAACTTTGGAAAGCAAGAATCACTAAGGAGAGGGAAATATTTATTTTTTGTGCTGATAAACAGGAATTTGAACAAAAAAAAAAATATTTCTAAGTCTGTGTTTGCGAGGGGGAGGAATAAATTTATCAAGCACTTGATGGTAAGCCAAATCACATATTGATTTTGGCACTTTGGTAACTAATGAATTTAGTGCAAATCTGCTGCAAAAAACCCAAGTAGTGTTCTTTTTCTTAGCAATCATTTACACCTTGCCAGAAATCCTGCTGAAAAGAAAGGTACGGGAAATATGAAAGCTTGAGAAGCCCATAGAGCAAAGTGAAGTATAAGTAGTAAGTACGTATTAGTCCAGAACTACTTGTGTGCTTATGCATAATTACAAATTTTTTAATTCTATTTATTTTAATTTATTTCTTTAAATAATTTACTTCATGCCCATTACTAAAAA